TTGCAAAGATGCACAATTTACAGCATTGCATTCTCTGACATTTCCTAAACTGTACATGCTAAATTTATAACTTAAAAAAGTATTCTACGCGTAGACAAAAGAGTGTACTTTAATTTAATATATGATTTATTAAAAATTATTCACTGTAAGTATAAAAAATATTTATCAAAACTTTTCATAGAAATTGCAAAGATGCACTATTTACAAGATTGCATTCTCCGACATTATATGAACATTTGAATACGAATTTAAACTCAAATAATTATTCTACACGTAGACAAAAGAGTGTACTTTAATTTAATATAAGATTCATTAAAATCTATTTACTCTAAGTATAAAAAATATTTAAAGAAATATCAGAGAATGCAATGCTGTAAATAGTGCATCTTTGCAATTTCTTTGAAAAGTTTTGGTCAATATTTTTTATACTAAAAGTGAATAGATTTTAATGAAACTTATATTAAATTAAAGTACACTTTTTTGTCTACGCGTAGAATACGATATCAAATTAGCAATGACTGATTTCCGGCTTCGACGGTTACATATATATATATTTCTCTCGTGTGATTTTTTATATTTAAATAAATATTGTATTATTCCCCGTTTTAATCCACAGGTATTCATAGACGACCGATTCCAGCTTACAAACCTTTACCACCTAATTTGGATTCTAGCTTTCATCGGGATAAAGATCATTTAAGCAACGATAAACATATCGAAAAGCCACATTTTGATTTGAAACTCGATCAACAACAAATAGAATTCAATACAACTAACGAATCTTTGAACGTTAACGAGGATTTTGCTACCAATCATAAAACTGTAGAAAATAAAATAGGAATTAATCATAATCAGGAGGATCAGGATAATCCTACTAAGAAAGTTGAACACGAAGATTTTACGAAAAAAATTCACAAATATCAATCACATATGAAGGATAAAATAAATAATGAGAATACATTAGTGTTGGGTGCCGAATCTGATGAGAATAATAATCAAGCAAGCAGTGTGATACGATACACGGATTCACCTAAACCTGTAATACCTTTGAACAGTCAAACAAAGGATACGAAGATTACGAAAACCAATCACGTTGTCGAATCTTCGATTATCAATTCGAAGATGGAAGAAAGTAGCAAACTCGACGTCACGTTTTCGAGTAACGTCAAACCTACGAAATCATTTTCAACGAGTACACTAAACATAGAAACGAGTTCTTCTGTACGCGTGATCGAACCTACATCATCAACCAAGACAAATGTTCAGCCTACTTTTGTCCCTACGAAGGATCATACGAGTCAAATTTTGGAAACTACAACGACCAGGATGGAATTGGAACCAAGTAGTACGTTTACCGAATCAGAAATCGTAGAAATTCGTACGACATCATTATCTACGATGCCAACTGAAAGTTTACCAACTACAACGTATTCAAAAACATTAATTAACACTCAGAAAACTACGACTCATACTTCAATGAGTAGTAGCACCTTTTCGAAAAATACAGGTAAGCCATTGCTAAAATCAATGATAAACTCTATAAACGTTGTTAACTTTTATATTTAACAAAGTTGTCAATTTATTTTTGTAATACTTACAGATCGATATTCCTATCGACCTCGGCCTGGAATAGTACTCGATGATACCTTGGATTACACGGGAACACCAGGATTGGCTACGCAAAGACCTTACCCACCACCAAGACCCACATCCTTGGTCGATATATTCGACGTCACGGTTTCCGCTGTTCAAGGTCCAGGTGGAAGTTCTGGTAAGAAATATAAATTTTTATCTTTAATATTAATCTTATAATTTATGTGAAAACAACAAGAAAATTTTCATTTGATTTACCGTGATAAATTAGGGGACGGTGTTAGGGTATCCATTAATGGTGGAAACGCTGATGTCATATTAACTTCTGCCGTTGAAGGTCAAGGATTTGTGAGTATCGATGGTAAAAGGACCTATTTAAATTTATTCGATAATACTGATCGAACTTCAACATCAACCCAAACAATACCTCAACCAACCAGAACTCAACCTCCTCATGTCGTTGGCACCGGGTTAGTAATTGTCTTCTTTTTAAACATATCAACAATGTACACAGTTACAAACAAATCAATTCTAATACATTTAGATTAGCAATACCACAACCGGATACTCCTAACATCAATCAACGTCCTAGTTTATTATCACCAAGACCAAATTATCCTAAACGACCAACTCAGCCTCCTGTTAGGATTGATACTTGTATAGTTGGGGATAGTAGTACCTGTGATGCAAGTCAACATGAAGCCTGTGCCACGATTCAAGGTGTATCAGCGTGTCATTGCAAACCAGGATTTGCTAGATTGCAACATTCCTTACCGTGTAAAAGTATGTACTCAACAAATTTTCTATTAGGATGAATACAAAGTTCGTAGATTTATCGTGCAATAAATAATAATATTCAATTCGTAGTTAAAGTATTAATATAAAAAGAACTTTTGCTTTATCCTTAATATAAGTTGAATATCTTCAAAATTAATTAACTCTATTAAATGGAATATTATTTGTTTGTTTGTTTTTGTTTCTATAGAAATCGTCAGTATCGTAGTATCCATTAGGATAGACAGATTTTATGATAGGAAAGTTGTATGGGATCGTGGATTAGCTGACAAGGATACCGAATCTTATCAAACTTTATCTTTCGAAGCTAACAGAGCCGTAAGGATATTTCTATTTTTTTCTTTTAAATACTTCATACATGTTTTATATTTTATCTATAATAAAATAATAAACCACATGTGTGTATTGATTTACAGATCGAGTCTGCGATGTCTATGACGCCATTCTCGGACGAGTATATGGGATCGTCTATTAATTCTGTATATCAAGGTGACGTCAGTCAAGGACAAGGTGGAGTATTTGTTAATGCAACCCTGAAACTCATTTATGAACCGAGAACTGTGCGACCCAGTTTGGCTGGCGAGTTGCAGAAACAACTGCTCGGTGTCATTCATAGGAGAAATAATAATATTGGAAATAGCGCGTTATATGTGGACAGTCCTCGTGGATCGATATCCAATTTGCAAGGTTAGATATAAAAAAAGAAAAAAAAACCAGACGGTTCTTCTCTTTTTATGAAACGGAACTTCTTTTCTTTTAGATTTGGACGAATGTGCATCCTCAGAATTAAACGATTGTCATTCTTATGCAACCTGTACGAATTCATGGGGTGGTTTTACCTGTACTTGCAATTCAGGATTAAAAGATCCTCATAAGGATGATTCCAATGAGTCTGGTAGATCCTGTTTGTCTTGTCCTTCGACTCATTGCAATAATCGTGGAACCTGTTCCTATCAAAACGATCAAATGCAATGCGCGTATGTTGAAACGTTATAGGTTTTATTCTTGTGTGATTAATTTTATATATAAGTGTTTAACTATATTTATAATATATATATTTATTAATTTCAATAGATGTACCGGCAATTATTATGGCACCCAATGCGAAGTTGACGGTGAAGTTTTAGGCGTTGCTATAGGTGCATCTGTTGCTGCTTTAATAATCATAGTATTAACACTCGTTTGTCTCGTGATGTGGAGGTAAAATATTTAATTAATTTATAATTGTATATAACAATTAATTTGATATTAATTTATTAATATTTTAGTCGTAGATGGTCACGCGAACAAAAATCAGTAGGTTCACCTGTTTATGGATACATTCAAGGTGGAATACCTGGAACACTTCCTGGTAAATTATAATTTTTAAATATCATTTTCATTTTTATATATACGTACTCTTCTGTATTTTATATAATTATGATATATCATAGGTACATTGGCTAGAGTTGGTTCAGTTGGGACTTTGGCATCGGTAAAACAAGGGCCACCACCTAATCTGCCACCCTACATGTTGGCACATTTTGGTGATCACATGGCAACAGCAAATATCTATGCCGTAAGTATTATACATTCGATTGTAAAACGATCAAGATAATTATTATTATAAATTTTCCCCATAAACAGACTGAACCTATGGGTCCAACAAGACCCAGCTCAGCAATGTTTGGTTATCCACCAATCAATGTTCATGGAACATTACCACCAGTTCCTTTACCACGATTACAAGCTCCACCAAGACCAAGACAAAGACATCAACCGGATCCAGACAGTTCTGATTCAGAACCCCAGGATAAGGATAGAGCTGATTTGATACCACACAGCAACGGGTTTCACGTGCCCAGGCCGAAATCCAGGTCGTCTTTGGCGGTTAGTATGATAACATAATTCATTTATGGTATAATATTAAATATATTTATATATTGTGATAGACCGAAATTGGATAATGTCAAGATTCATATGATGAAAGACCGAATTTTTAATTTTATTATTATACATTATAATATTTAGGATATACATCATCCAATTTCGATTTTTCGCAATAACACATGCATATTTAAGTTATTCATCCGATGTTTGAATTTTTAGAATCAAAGTGGAATTTATAATGACGTTGAATACGATCAAGGCGACGTTCAGCACCTGTCCAAAAATAATATACCAATGTCAACCTATAGACCGTATTATAGAACGTGAAATTTGGAAAATGAGTCGAATTTCATCGACTTATCTTTTTTTTAAAAGAAGAATGTCAAGTTAAATATAGTCTTTTAAAATGGAAGAAGAAGAACAGAAAAAGAAACTTAAGAATCGGTCGTGGCTCCTGACAAGTGTCCTTTCATTCTTCTCTGCATAAAAATGAAGAGAACTGTATAATATAAAAAAGAAAAGAAAAGAAAAAAAAAAAACCGAAAGGAGACTATTTATACATAGTAAGATTATTTAAAATGTCTTCCACTTTGTGCAAAATTATTAACTTAGAAATCTTATTTCGATTGGTTTAAATGACTACAGTATGATGATACATTAAAGTCCTAAAACAATTGGAATAATTCATGTTATAATTATCCATTTATATGTAATTATTTTGTTATTGTTGTAATTTAAACGAGAATAGAAAACTACACTATAATATATAATACATAAATAAATTCGTTAAGATAATTGATTCTCTATTGATTGGGAAATAATTCAATCATGTCAATGTTTAAACATTTTGTTATTGTTGTAATTACATATTACACATATATATATATGTTTTTTTTTTTTTTACTTTAATTTTGTTTCTTTTTCAAGTTGAATACAATAATACATTTGGAAAAGTATCAATCAAAAATCATCGTCATCACACTTGTTCATATGCCCTCAGTGCATAAAATAATAATCATAATTGTTTAATGATTTTTCATTTTATAAATGAATTTTTCTCTCTAACGAGAATTAAAGATAATACATTGAACAGTTTTTCACAAACGTTGATATAATTATGAATTTTTTCGATCGTAATGCACAATGTTTTTTTTTGTTAATTATTCGAATAACTTATATAATTTTCTGTCGTGAAAATTAAATTAAAAAAATGTTTTAACACGCGTCAAACGTTGACTTGCTCGTTCGTGTTATATACAAATTAATTATATTTAATTATTTAAACAACTTCTTATAAAATTAATCATAGTCATGGAAAAAAAAAAAAGAAAAAGAAAATAATAAAAATTACTGCCGTAATAAAATAAAATATAATTGTATTTTAAAAAGAGTAACAAAAACATATCGGTATAATTTTATTTCAAATTATTTCTAATTGCGACGAGATACTTAATTACAATTAAAAAAAAATATATTCCAAAAGGGATAGGAAAGAAGAAGAAAAAAAAAAAAAAAGGGCCGGCGTGAGGGGCAAGTAGGGGGTGTTTGAGGCACGTGATGATTCGCGTGGAATTACAATTACATTTATAATTTGTTGTTCAAGCTGAAATAAAAACGAAAAAGCGCATCCCATTTATTATTATTATTATTTTTTAATATAACCTATTGAGAGAGATATTCGAAAAGAGAAAATTTTTTTAAATAAGTTCTTCTTATATACGATTTCTTTTTTTTACTGCAAACATGCGTAAAATCGTTACGAGAGAGAGAGAGAGA